TAAACTACAGAGAACAAATGATGATTACCAGAGGGGAGGTAGGTAGAGATGGGTAAAATATGTCATAGGAATGAAGGTGTGTACTTGCTGTGATGAGCCCTGGGTGTTGTATGGAAGTGCTGAATCACTATATTGTATGTCTGAAACTATTATTACACTGTATATTAATTAACTGAAATTAAAAACCTAAAAAAATAAAAATTTCAGGAGTTGCTGAAAGGTTGGATGTAGGGAGTGAGAGAGAGGAGACAAGGGTCTAAGATTACTTTATTGAAAGAAGAATGAAATTTGGAAGGACATACATTAATAAGAGAGAGTATGTCTAGGGAACAATGACTGGGACTAGGAATGTAGGAATTAGGTGGGTAATAATAAAACAAATGCCTACTAATGAAGACTAATGAGCAACTAATTTCAGCATACCCAAAGGCTCTCTTGAAGGACAGAAAAAGAAAGGCAAACATGTAAGCAAGTAATTTCTTTTCACTGGTTAAAAAGAGATTTAGGATTAATAGTTCTCTCTCAGAATTTTTAGATATTTTCTTTTTACTTTAATCGTATCACCAGCAAAAAGGCCAATGAGTAAAATCCCTCCTCACATTTACATCTTGCTTTTCCTTAAGCTCCAAGATTTGTATTAATATATCACTCACTATATCCTTTTAATAAAGTAGTTTAGCATACTCCTGTTCTGAGCCTGTAGTCTCACCTAGAAGTTCTCTCACAAAATTCCACTCCCATGAGTGAATTTTCTACTTGTAACTTCTAAATATACCATGGCTCTCTGCTTCTCAATGTAAGAGATCAGTAGTTTTGAAATAAAATATACTCTTACATGGCTATGTTTCAGTTATTAGTTTTATCCCACTAAATCTTTGAGCTAAGAACAAGGGTATAGTTAATCTGAGTTATTACTATACTTTGTGCATTGATTCACTAGTTCATCAACTATAACTCAACACCTGTGTCCTAGATTCATGGAATAAAGAGACAAAGACAGCATAAACCCCTTCCTCAAGGATTTCCAATCCTTTAGAGGGAAGAAAAAAATGTAGACAAGACAATTATAGTGTAATGTGTTAAATGTTTGACAGAGTATGAACAAAAGGAAGTAGGAATGTATGAGTGGTCATAACTATAATTTGTCTAGGAAAATATTACAGAAGGCTTATACAGATGTTACATTTAAGTGGTAAACAGACTTGGCGAAGTAAGAAAAAAGAATGACTTCTTAAATCTTAATATTCTTATCCTTTCTGTTGATTTTCTCCTAAAAAGATAACTAGTTCTTCCAGAATTCAGCTCATTCAACGTAATTAATACAAAACTTTTAGTTAATATAAGAAGCTACTAACCATTTTTAGGATATCCATGTAAAAATAAAATCTTGAATTTCAAAGAAACATATCAAAATGAATCCAATTGTATGTAAACTCAATATTCAAGATCTGTTCTATTAAAAAATAACATTTTATAATATAGTGGTTATATCAATTGGATTGGGTTCCTATAACAAAATGCCACAAACTGAGTGGTTTAAATAATAGGAATTAATTTTGTCGAAGTTCTGGTGACTACAAGTCTGGGATCAAGGTGCTAGCAGCTTTGGTATCTAGGTGATAATGCTCTTGTTGGGTTACAGATGATCACTTTGTTGCTATGTTGCTCATATGGCCTTTCATGTGCTCAAGGGAAGAGAAGGAGCTGGATATCTTTACCTCTTTTTAAGAACACCAATCCTATCAGGCCAAGGTCCCACTTTCATGACCTCATCCAACTCCAATTATCTCCCAAGGGCCTCATTTTCAAATATCATCACATTGGGTTTCAACATATAAATCTGGGGTAGCAGGGAACAGTGGGTAGAATCACAAACATTCCGTTTGTAACAGTAGGTTAAACAGTATGTTGGTAGGTTTGTTAATAAATAAGGAAGCCAAGACACTATCCCTACCCTGAAGATGAGCATTATCTTCCTGAGGAAAACAACTGTCCTTTGTATACCCGCTAACAAAGCAAATTTAAAAAAATGCCAAATTAAAAAAATCTTAGATTATAGAATTATTCTCAAAATCAGTTTTCCTATCACTATTCTGTGACTCAGATTATCTGATTTAGGACAATGAAATATAACAAAACCATCTGGTAATATCAGAATTATATGGTTTTTATAGCCAGGCTTTCATTTGAAAGTTTAAATTATACGTACGACCATTTTCTATAGGCATACCAGTAAATAATTTTAAATTAGTTAATGCAATTTTAAATGACCTTCAGTTTTTCTTACCATAAAAAACTTTGTTCCAACAGTGCCTTTTAGAATATATGAAATTATATATTATATCCTCATATATGATACTGGGACACAGCTATATCCTCTAGTCTTCATTACAGGAAAAGTATAGACAACTAGTAAAGCTTAGCTTTATTGTTTTATAAATGAACCAGTAAAGTTCATTTTAGTGAAATGAGCACATGCTTTTCATAAATTAAATCTCACATGGTAAGTACTCATTTTCAAAATTAATTTAATTACATGTTTAAAGTTTAATTACATTTAATTAAGCATTTAAGTTTTATATGAAATAAATGAATTATCAGTTAACTACTATGAAATGAAATATTGCCTTGATAATTAAAATCTATAAATTTTCCTATTCTGTGCAAAAGTTCTAGTTCTCAAAAACATTCTGGAAAAAAAATATGTATTTTAAAGTCTGTAGGAGTATATTCTCATAGCTGATCAAGGTGTAGTTTTTCCTGGCAGCTGGCTTCATGTGCTGTACAGTTACTACAGCAGCAAATGGAGGCAGTCTGGCACAGAATAAAAAGCAGAGGTTTTGAAGATTTGGATTTGGGTCATAGACTTGGTCACTAACAGCCTAAGAGAGTGGGAAAGCTACTTAAGCATCTGTGACATCAAGTTCCTAAAAAATGGGGATAATATTACTTCTCTTGGAGGGTTGTGGGAGGATTAGATGAGATATCCCATGATCAAATGCCTGGAACAGTGCCTGACATGGAACAGGTATTCAAAATAAGTTAATTCCCTCCTTCTTTTAGTTGCTGAATGGATGAACAAAAATCTTGTACTTTGGTGCTTAAAAAAGTCTTACTCTTAAAGTATTTTATTAATTACAAAAATAACACCATATTTTTCATTTCCTTACATTATACTTAATGGACATTTTACATTTTTTATTTCCTTAAGGACTCCATAAATTGAAGCAATATAGTATTATTGCTAACACAGAATTCTGAGTCAGAAAGAACTGACTTTGAATTTGGGTTCCACTACTTACTCTTTGAGAAATCAGGGAAAAGTTATTTCCCACACCATAAACGTATAGGTATACCTGGTTTAGTGAATGGAAGAACTAGTATAATCCATATAATCACTCAATCTTAACAAAATTCTAGTGATATGGGTAGGACAAATGTATCCCCCAAACCAATTTTTCACAGAAGGATATTTATTTTCACTAAATTTAAGGTAAATTAAGCTTAACAGCAGGATGGACTCAGTGTCAGAACTAAGATTTTAAAATTTCTTTTTCAGTACTCTTTCCTTCATAACAGGAAGGTAAAGGCAAAGGACACCGATATCTCTTTTAAGCAGTAAAGCAAAAAAGAAAGATAAGGATCTGATTTAGGTTAATCCCGGTTCTATCACTTAATAGTGAGCCTCAAACAAATAACTTCTGTGAATTTCAGGAACTTCTTCTGGAAAATGGGAATACATACTTTGTTAGGGTTCATACAAGGATTGCACTACTACTAACAAATGTAATACATAGAGGAATGACTGACACACACGAGAGTCATTCATTAATGGCTACTAATACTAAGACAACATCAAAGCACCACTTCTGGTAAGTCTCAAGCCATAAAATGGAAAACCATAATGAAGATTTTGTATTTTTTGAAACAGATTTAATAACAATAAATAGGATAGTTTTCATTAAATTCTCAAGCCATACTCCTGGAAAGAGACTCTAGACTTGTAAGTCACTTCAGTTCATAACTTCTTGTTTATTAAATCTCCATGTAATAACTCATCTCACTTTGAAAATAATGGTTTTACAATATGAAAGAAAAGAGAAGCAACAACCTATTCCATGGATTACTTTCTTTCATTCAACTGCAGTAAGAACTGAAATTACATAGTCTTAACACTTTATAAAGTATTCAATGTCAAGGACTGTAATTTTCAGAGTTTTGCCTCAATAAAGGTAGCACTATAAACATGTTATGTTGGTTTAATATTTAAAACTCTTCATTGGGCCAGCCCAGGTGGCTCAGCGGTTTAGCACCGCCTTTGGCCCAGGGCTTGATCCTGGAGACCCGGGATCGAGTCCCGTGTTGGGCTCCCAGCGTGGAGCCTGCTTCTCCCTCTGCCTTTCTCTCTCTCTCATGAATTAAAAAAAAAAAAAAAAAAAAAAATCTTAAAAAGAAAAAAACAATTCTTCATTGGAAAACTCAAAAAAATCCTAAATTCTTCAAAGGCAACCTAAAAAAATACAAATTACTGTATTTACAGAATAATGAGAAATAGAAAGACTTAATAAATATTAGAAAATATACACTTATTTACTTTCTGAAAGGACACTTAACTGAAAAACAGCAGTACTTCATACCATTTTCACTGCTATTTTATTAATACGTAGTATTTAGTTATCTATCTGCATTTAGGGCTAAAAGACCTTGACTTAAAAACTATTCCACATTTTCTTGACAATAAAACCAGCAGGTATTATAATTTTGGTATCCAGACTTTTTAAACAGCAAATTAAGAATAATAGCATATCCAACAGTTACAGGACCAGAAAAAGAAAACCACATATAAAGAAATAATATGAAGCATATGTACAATTAAGGTTATGTATTATATAGAAAACATTTATTATTAGAAATGCACCTTTAGTTATGTATTCTTTCAAAGAATGTGGTAAAGATGCACTCTGTTAACCTGTGGAATCAGAATTGGGTCATTAACTTACCATGGTTCTATATTAAGAGTTGGGGATAATTTTTCTGGAAAAAAAAATCCATGCCATTTTGAAGCCTCAATTAGTTCTTGTGGCATCCTTTTTGATAAATCATAATAGTGACCAAATCTTGAAGAAGATACTGGTCCAGGCTGTTAAGAAAAGCCATATTAGTTGTTTAAGAAAAACCATATTAGTTGTTTAAAAATTACTTTTTTTAACTATAATGTATTTGAAATACATTCAGCAAAATACTGATATATTTGTGCATTTTAATGCTGATAGGAAGAGCTGATATACACAGACTTAATAAGTTTCAAAAAAAGCATACTACAATTTTTATTATTTTCAATGATACTTAGAAATCAACCTTTTCCTCTCCCATGTTTCTTTGCTCTTGGTGGCTCCCTAAATTTGACAAGAACTTGAACACCTCTTTGCTTTTCTTACTGTATATACCTGCCTAAGCTAAAAAGAAATTAATAATATATCTTAATTATTTTTAAAGTTTCCAGGTTTAAATGACAAATCAAATATGGAATTCCTAAGAACTAATGAAAATTTAAGCCAATGAAATCACTGGTGAGGGGCCCAAAAGAAACTAGCTATTGATACTACGTATTTGCATTTTCAGACTTAAAAAATGCCTAACAACATCAGATTATACAGTAACATAGAATAAAAAAAATTTAAGTCTGATAGAAACATTTTTCTCAGTCTGTGAGTTTGGCATTTATTTTCTAAGTAAAATGACTGTTCATCCCTTCATAAGATACTGTTTATTTTCATTAACGAAAGAGACTGATCAATCAGCTCAACCTAATGTTTTCAATACAAAGTATATACAAGTATGTTTCCCAAAACATGATTTATCTATTTACCAGGGCAGTATTAGCAAATAAATTGAGAGACATAAAGTACGTTTCTTAAAAATAGGGTAAAGTTTTTAAATGTAAAGTTATTAGTATAAAGCAATTTAAACAAGGTCTGTTCTTTGGCCTATAATCTATTCTTTATCCGGATTATAGTTCAGAATGTTTTTACTGCAATCTCTGCTAGAGCTCATCTTTTTATTGTGTAAGTCCAAGCCCCCTTAATGTTTTAGAAAGGCCTTGACTAACTGAACTTTGATCTGATGTCTTCATTGAGAAAAACACCAGGTTGCCCATTTCAGATGCAAATCCTCCTAAGGCCCAATAGAATTTAGTAAAGACAAGCAAAAAAGAAGAAACAAGAAGTTTCCAGGATCCTCTTTGAGAATCCTGGGGCACACTGGTGTCCTTAATCCACACTGCTCCATGGATTAAGGTAGGTGATAACCTTTCCTGATTCAAAAGAATAAGCAGAGTGCCTACAAACTGGGTGGAGACTAGGATTTGGTAATAATAAAACACCATGCAATAAAAGCTTGGTCTATGTCAGAAGCCTCTGAAAAGGCCTCAATGTACCACATTCCCAGGCCTAGTAGGGAAGCTTGCAAAAGCCTACCTGAATCAAATAAGCATGAATAATCTATTTTAGCAGACTGGCCATGGGGAGAGAGAAAGAAAGAGAGACTTTTCGCTTCTTTTAAGTTTGAGTTAATAAATTTATTAGTGCACTGAAGGTTCTTGAAGTCTTGGGCACTCAGAGAAATATGCTAAATTGCCAAGAAGCAAAGTATGCTTTTTAAGTTGCCGTCTCTATTAATGTTTCTAATTATAATATTAATGTGATAGAAATCTCAGATTTGGGATGAATCAAGGCAGAAAATTGATTTCATGCTGTGACAGTTTACATATAGAACACATAATTTATTAAAATGTAAGAATAAATTTGGAAGCTTTTATTACAATTAATATTTTTAGAAATTAAGATTAGATGCATCAACTAAAATATTCACAAGGTAGAAATTATAAATTTTATTGATGGTGGAAAAATTGTAATCCTTCAATAAAAATGAAAATGAAAAATAAATATAGCCTTACAGGAAAAAACAATTTTCTAAGGTTTTTTTCTACCCAAGATACAAAGCATTAACATATAATCAGATTTTTTAAAATAGTATGAAATCTTTTGAGGCTTAGAATTATAAAACAAAGACTTCAAATATTTCCTCTGAAAAAAGAAAACTAAATGCTTTAAATCTGATAATAATCTATGGAAAAATATCAACTCTACAAAAAAGATGCATTAAAAATCATAATATCATCAATAGCTCATCAGTTTTATTACTCTGTTTGATAAGAACATGTTGCTTTAGTTTTACATTATGAAAACTTCTGTTTCACAGACACATACTAATCTTTACCTCTGTCAACTGTGGAATGGAGAATAATGGAATGGTTCAGTAAAAATTTACTATAAGGGAAAATTAACTCTCATGGGGGCCCAGAAGTAGCACAGAGCAATAAAACAATACCATCCCTCACCTCCAATATATTAGAAAGAAACAAAACTTTCAGACAAAAGCTGCACTACAAATAGTCTAAATAAGACATTTTCTTATTATTGTTATCATTTCTTGTTTCTCAATATGGCATAATAGAAAGCAAGAATCCAAATAGTTAACTACTTTGAGCCTCAGTAATAACTATTTTGTTAGGCTGTTGTGAGAATCTAATGCAATACTGGCAATGAATATTTTGTAATTGTAAAGAACTACATAAATGATATTAATCATTATTCTTGTGTCATGATTCACTAGAGAATCATTAGATCTATCACTATCCTTTGTAATTACATTACCTCATTCAAAAAATGGCATTTGTTGTCACCTGCAATATGCACACATCTATCACAGGACTATTGTGGCTGAACCACTAGGAAAGAAAACCAAAATGTAATAAGGATTTAATATAATAAAGATCTAATACACTAATACATGAAGTGCTGGAGCCATTGTAGGCTTTGGTAATAGAACTATGTAATACTGAAGAAATTAGGTCTCAGTATATGCTGTAAGGAAATAGAATAGGGTGAAAGGGAATGAGTCTTCCCTTCTTGGGGTAAAAAGGGAAAAGGACTTGATTGGATAGGTGAAAAAGGGCATATCCACCTAAGAGAATCAAAATCACAGGACAAGGGAAGGTGGGCTTTTTAAAACTACACACCCTTCCAACTGGAAGTAGCACCGCTTTATACTTTACTGAACTACTGTTACTGATTTAGTGTGCATACTCATCCTTTTCTGCATTCCCTAAGTGGGAATGTGACTACACTCTTAGGAACTGATGGCAACTTATATTAAAAGGCATCTCTGATAAATGACACAGCTAGTTTTGGACTACTTGTTTAATATTTATTCATAATAGTTTTAACTATATTTTATCCCAGGTAAAACACAGAAAACCTAGGGTTTTGTTGTTTTTAAACTAATAATGGCAAGGTAAAATCTAGATTTATAAAGTAGATGATGGTTGATCACCAAACTCTATCAGTCTTGGCAAATCCTTATATATAAAATTTCTGTTACAGGCAAATTTACATGCTGGTGACATTTCAAAGAAAAGCAAAAGAAGTCAGAAGATTCTATTTTGTAAACTTGACAGAACTCATTTATAAATACTAATAAACTTAAGTTTGACCATTGATGGTAAATTCAAATAAGCTATTTTTATTCTACTTGTATTAATTAATGCAACTTAGCTCAGGTTTGCATTTAATTCACAGAATATATAATTCATTCACTCATGTATACAACAAATAGCTATGCAGCACCCACTATATGCCAGTAAAACAAGATATTCAAAGTCTCTTTCTTTTATTGAGCTCACAGTCCAGCAGGAGGACACATGATACTATCTGTTAGGTGATGATAAGTGCCCTAAAGAAAAATAAGACAGTGAAAGGAGATGAGAGAGAGAGAGAGAGTGGTTTTATTTTATAGAGACAAAGAAAAGAATACTTTCCTCATAAAGTGGTATTTTACTGGAGAACTCAAGAAAATGGGAGACTAAGTCATGTGGGAAAGATCATTGTAACAAGATGACAATTTTTAAAACTGTAAACTTTGAAAACTGATCACAGGGTTTATGTGTTAATATGTGGCCATTAAGAAGTTTAATTTCATAGATAAAACATCATATTCTAAAGCGAAGAGAGGAATAAGGACTACTCACTCATATGTAAAGGGGGCAAGAATTATTTGTAATTATAAAGAAACAATGTAAGAAACAAAGAACTTTTGCCCCAACTTTAAACAGATTTTGTAACAAGTAGTTAAAAATAAAAGGCTTAAAGTTTCAGTTATTTGAATCTTCAGCAACAGTTTGATATGAAGAATGTTAGTTATCAATGAAAAACCAAAACAGCTGAGATTAGAATGAAAATAAATGCAAGATTCAAGTGATTTATATAACCTACAATTGGACTGGCATATTGCCTCTCCAAAAAAGCTAAATTTAAGAGCTTTTGTTCATTATTGACTCTTTCAGAACATACCAGTAGAAAAATGAGAATATGGTCACTCTTTACAAAAGAGTCACCATTAAGCCCAGGAATTTAAATGAAACTACCGGCTCAAGACATGAAGGAAGTTCTTTGCCATTAGGGCTCTCAAGTGCTAGTCCTACATTCCTTGTCTGTTTTAATCTCTATCACTCTGCTCACATTTTTCTAAGCAGAATAACTACATTTATTCTGGTCTCTTATACCCAGTTCTCAATCACATCCAAGTGACGCAATGCCTGCAACAACTGTCTGCACAGATCATCCCTCTATTTTTTAATGCATATGTATAGTATTCTACTGTACACCAATACTGTAATTTATTTAACCAAATGCTTATTTCCAATCTTCTGTTATGAAAAATATGCTATATAAATAGCTCATATACTCATTTTACATGAGTAAATATATTCATAATGTAAATCTCCAAAAGATCAAAGGTATGTGTTTTTTTGATTCTGAAGTATAGTACCAAAATAATGTTAGAAGTACTTTAAAATACATTTTTGAGTGCTATGGATACAAAAATAAGAAACTAGATAATTATGTATGGAAAGCTATCAGAATGGTAATATTTGCACTTGGAGAAGGTGGAGTTGGTGAAAAACAAAGTGAAAAGCATTACCAGTAGAAATATAAGCAATTTACAAAGAGCAACTCTCATAGGATTGGTGAATATAGTGGTTTTTTTTTTTTTAAAGATTTTATTTATTTATTCACGAGACACACAGACACAGAGGCACAGACACAGGCAGAGGGAGAAGCAGGCGCCATGCAGGGAGCCCGACATGGGAATCAATCCTGGGACTCTAGGAAAACACCCTGGGCTGAAGAAGTGCTAAACTACTGAGCCACCTGGGCTGCCCTGAATACAGTGTTTTTTATTTACACAGGAGACTTAAAGGTAGGCTTGGATTAGATTGTGTAGATCTTATACACAGTCTGGACAAGTTTGTATTTCATACTGCAAGCTTATAGTGGCAAACAGGTTTCATCTCCTATGCTAACTCTAATATATTTTCTGGTAGTGACCACCCAGAACATGACAGAGAATTCTAAGGCATTGTCCAGGCTTGGCAGAGGGTTCTAGGATTGACAGTTTGGCATGCAGTTAGACGGAGGCGGTGGAAACAGTATACCAAATTAGGCATTTGCAGTTAAGAAATGTTATAAACATATTTCTGCCCTTGGGGAAGGTAACAGTGATGTAGAAGACAGAAGGGTAGACTATGGGTGTTGTGTCTTATTCAGATTAGAATTTCTTTCTTTTTTACCAGTATGATATGATGTCTGGTAGACATTAAAGTATTCTGAAAAATGAATAAATAAACAATCAAATGAAGGAGCTAATAAACAAACAGAGCCTTCACCAGGAGCAGAGCGCATAAGCTTTCGTGGGTAAATTTACTGACATCTGTATTCTCAGAGATTTTCCTTTCACTTCCTGTCTCTTAGTCTATCCTTGATAGATGAGGTTAAAATATAGTGATACAAAATGTACAGGAATAAAAACAGTAATTCTAAAGAACATCCACTTATGCTGAATATTTATAGGTAACCAAGATGGATAAAAATAGCTTAATGAGTTCACTTACTCTGGCTTGCAACCCTAGAATAAAAGATTCCATATGGAGATTATGGAAGAAATGAAATCTATTTTGGTAAAAAATTTTTTGCCATAATTTTATTTTTTAAGAAATGTCATCTTGGTAAAATACAAATAAAATATCTAGTTATTTAAATAAGCATATATGCATTGCAGTGCATTTAAGGAATAACAGGTATACCACAAAAGATTCTATAAAATGAAAACAAATACATTTGCAAATTTTAGAAATAGTTTGAATGTTGACTTGCCTCCATCTTGGGTAATAACTGGTAACGCCAAGCTATTTTCATCTTAATATTAGATTCTGGTGTTTTATGATTGCATACATCTTCATCAAAATCTTTTTTACAATTATCATCAAGTAATGGTGCAGGAAGTTCCTAAGAAAACAGAATGATACATTACTGAGCATCTGTGATTAAAAAATGTAACAATTTTCTTAAATCATAGTATTAGCAATACTAGAACTTTCCAATGACTTGATGCCTTAAAATTGATTCAATCATATAGTCATAACAGTATGGCTATTTCTAAAACAGAGGAAAATGATATATATATACTATTGTGAAGTATTTTTAGCAATAAACAAGAATTTAAAGAAAATATTCAAATTTTTATACTATGAAAAAGCAAATGTTATTCCAAGTATGATCTTTTATACACACACACTAAAAGCAAAGCCTGGAATTAACATTTATGTATTACATGTAATTATTGTTGTCTGCTGCAAGGTAAAAATAAAGCATGTGTACAATCTGTTTACTAGTTTGTAATAACTAGAATTCAAAAAACTCATTCACCTAAATAATCAGTGAAGTAACAACAATAAGACATTTATTTTTCCCTTACCAAATGTTAGTTTTTTTACCTGTATGCTTATGTCTCTTCTTTTAACAATGAAAATAGAACTTAAAATCTCATTAAGAGACACCGAAGTCCAATTTTACCTTTTCTTCTTTGGAAGCTGACCCAGGGAGTAGCTATTAAAAACATATGGAAAACATTTGTGTGTGTGTGTGTGTGTGTGTGTGTGTGAAGAGGAACTACAGAAATAATGCAAAGAAAAAGTACCTAAGTTTTTTGGAGAAGGAAAGCACATACAGTAGTTTTATTACATATTATTTTTATATTAGCAAAAATCATAACGATAATGTGGGGTGCTGAATTAGTAAACATAATCTTGTGCTAGGACATAAGTTAGTCTAAACTGTAGCTTTTACTTTGCAAAACCAAATTTATTTATGTTTAGAATCATGTCAACTAATCAGCTGGAAAAACACATTAACCATCACGTATTTTAGTTATCTACTAAAAGAACCTCCAAAGAACCATTCTTTAATTTATACACATTAGAAACTAGCTATACCATTTAAACTCTGACTCCATCTCCCCGCAAAGCATTATTATCTTACAAAATTTTGTAATATTATCTTAGAAAATAAAAAATAACTTATTTTTTCAATGGAAATAAATATTTGTGAGGCATGTAGTACAATATGCATAGTGGTTATGAGTTTGAATTCTATATCCAGATTGTTTAGGTCCACATCTTAACTTTACACACTAAAAGCTATGTCTGTGGTTATCCTGATCACTACTGGACCTCTATGCCTCTATTCATCATCTGAAATATAAAGATATCAGTATTTATTTCATTGAGTTTTTGTAAGGAATAAAGAAGTAAAACATGTGAAATGCAAAGAATGGTGCTTGCTGCATATTAAGTACTTAATAAACAATTATAAGAATTAAGTCAAATAATTGCCTTAATCAATACTCAGAGCCACATATTTTGAGTTGACAATAGTAGGCAATGTATTGATTGTTGAATCATTATATTCTATACTTAAAATATAACATTGCATATTAATTATATTTGAATTAAAAAAAAAAGAGGAAATATTCCCAGTGCAGAATGCAGAAAACAGGAACCCAACAGTCTTTCTGAGTTAAAGAGACCAAGCTAGGAGTTCAAGGCCATGAGGCAAAATACAGGGGAAGAGAGGAGCACAGAGAGAGCTCCAGAGATCTATAAAGGCAACTCTTGAATACTGATCAGCACATGGACATAAGGAAACTACCCAAAACTGGTGAAAGAACCACTCAAAAAGAGCAAGGTGAACAATTTCTGAAGTTCACTTAGAACCAAAAAAGTCCATGGTTTCACCAACCAGATGGAGAAACCTTATAATTCATGAGGCATTAAGTAGCGAGGGGAAATCAGCCCTAGGAAAAAAGCTGCTCTGATTCCACCTGATGAAGCTGGCCTAAAAAAGCAAGCCTCAAAGTGATCAAACTGTTTCCAAGTAACTTTACTGAATCCCAGAAATGAACTCAAGAAAGTTTGCAAGAATGTAAAATATCCAGCACTCCACATGTTAAAATTCGCAATATCTGGAACCAATAAAAAAATGACCAGGCATGAAAAGGAAAAAGAGAATATGACCCCATAATAAGGAGATGCAACAATGATACAAATATAGTTAGACTAAGACAAAAATCAACTAAATTATAGTCCATGTGTTCAATAAAAATTGAGCATAAAGAGATAGGAAAGATCTATTTTTTAAAAGACCCAAATAAACCTCTAGTGATGAACACTTCAACATCTGAGATTTTAAAAACATACTGGACAGAAGGAACAGCAGATTAGACATGGCAGGAAAAACGATCAATGAACTTTAAGACATAGCAATAGAAATTATTTAGAAATTACAACAAAGGTATAAAATTTAAAAAAATTATAAAATCAAACTCCCCACAATAATCATTAAGTAAACAATATTCCCAGCATAAACTTATGCATATATCTGGGCATGCTAGACAAAATACTTCCAAAAAATAGGTATTAAAATACTATTAATATTTGAAAAATTAACACTTTATAAAACAAAAATGAAGTTGAAAGAATTATTGAACTGATGATTCTTTACTTTGAGAGATATTATTCCTGACAGATTCTCTCCAAAGATTATAAATGTGATTATGAAGCACATTAAGATGTTGGAGTCACTATGTTCCTTTTTTACATGTTTTAGTTTTCAATGAAATCAGTTTCTTTTTTTCTCTCTCCCATAAAAAATGAGGAAACTAGCATGTAGCACTTTCTCCCAGCCCCAAGTTTATTTTTTTCGCCTATAATTTTTATGCTGTCAAGGTTTATAGAGTTGCATTCTTGTCTGCAGTCAGATACAGAGTCGTTTAGCTTAGAGTTTTGTTGAAATTGATTCACCATGGGTGCTTTTACCACAGTTCCATAATTCTTGAGTTTTATTTAAAAAATTGATACCTGGGATCCCTGGGTGGTGCAGCGGTTTAGCGCCTGCCTTTGGCCCAGGGCGCAATCCTAGAGACCCAGGATCGAATCCATGTCGGGCTCCCGGTGCATGGAGCCTGCTTCTCCCTCTGCCTATGTCTCTGCCTCTCTCTCTCTCTCTCTCTGTGACTATCATAAATAAATAAAAAAATTAAAAAAAACTCATGTGTTCACAAACATTTAAAAAAAAAATTGATACCTGCGTTCATTTAACAGTGCCAGGAAGGTACCAGGGATGAAGCAGTACGCAAAATAAACCAAGTCTCTGCTTTTAAGGAGGTACATTCTTCTAGAACGGGTAATGATATGAACTTGAAGAAAAAAGAGGAAAAAAAATACAGACTAATGGGATATGTACTTTACATTGCATAGTCAATCAAACTCTTTGTCAGGAAGTAAATAGATGGATCTTATTTTCAAATACTTTTTTATTGAACCAGTACATTGGTTGTATATATTTCATAACATTTTTACTAGTTTAGAAGTAGGTAGATACTGCTATTGTACTGTCATTGGACAAGGAATGACGCTGTGAAGTCTTAAGCCTTCCACTCTTGTAGGTTACTTGCTTTTTCCTGCCTGAATAATGCTTCCTTGATCTTTAATAACTTAAAAAGGCTGTATCTATTGCTTTGCATTACACTGGATGTCCTTTTAAGTTGAAGATCTCAATTTCAAATAAATTTTTTTTGTGTCTGATACTTAATATTACTTTTCTGTTCTACACTGAACTAGAATATATCCTTATTTATGTAAATATCAGATGTATTATAGACAGTTGTAAAACGTCATACAGTAAACAATTTAAATGTTAGATGAATAAATGTTTTCCCATTTTCTAGACCGGGTTTGACTAATAGAAATTTCAGTGATGTTGAAAACATTCTATATCTGCCCTGTCCAATACAGTAGCTAGTAGATGCTTAAATTTATTAAATAAAATATTTTCCACATTATTATTATACTCTCACTGTTTTTTTTTTTAATTTTTATTTATTTTATGATAGTCACACAGAGAGAGAGAGAGAGAGAAAGAGGCAGAGACATAGGCAGAGGGAGAAGCAGGCTCCATGCACCGGGAGCCCGACGTGGGATTCGATCCGGGGTCTCCAGAATCGCGCCCTGGGCCAAAGGCAGGTGCCAAACCGCTGCGCCACCCAGGGATCCCTATTCTCACTGTTTTAATCTCATTTCTCTAAATACACTGTAACTATTGTGAGCCTGTTTAATATTGGGTAATATTATTTAAACCAATTCATATTTTTAATCCTGCAATTATCCTTTTTAACTACTTCTCATGGTTTTTTTTTCAAGATTTTATTTATTTATTCATGAGAGACACAAAGAAAGAGAGAGAGAGAGAGAGAGAGAGAGAGGCAGAGACACAGGCAGAGGGAGAAGCGGGCTCCATGCAGGGAGCCTGATGTGGGATTTGATCCCAGGGCTCCAGAATCAGGCCCTGGGCTGAAGGGGGCACTAAACCACTGAGCCACCCGGGCTGCCCTACTTCTCGTGTTTTTATTTTTATTTATCTATCTATTTATTTATTTAAAGATTTTATTTATTTATTTATTCATAGAGACATACACACACACACACACACACACAGAGGCAGAGGGAGAAGCAGGCTCCATGCAGGGAACCCGATATGGGACTCGATCCCGGGACTCCAGAATCACACCCCGGGCTGCAGGTGGTGCTAAACCGCTGCGCCAATGGGGCTACCCTACTTCTCATGTTTTTAAAATTTTATTCTTGTGGTATTTTATTGAACTCCTGCTCTTATTTTTGAACTCAAGTTCTGATGAAACTCTTCTATAAATCTCTTATGAAGGAATTTTCTTCTGTTCTTGGGTTATATTTTCTTCCAGACTGAGTTTTTCCCTCTAGCTAAAGTTTGAGGTTCAAGTATCATGCTATTCACCTATATTTCTGTACCTTCGTGTTACGAGAGCTAAGGCAAAATTAAATGCCATCTTCTTCTTTATTTTTTATAAATGCCAGTTTCTTTAGAAGACCTAGACTCCTGGGACGCCTGGGTGGCTCAGCGGTTGAGTGTCTGCC